GCTTGCCTCTTACTCGCTGGAAACTCCTTGACCACCCCCTTGTTATTCGTGACCCCTAGGGCATAACCGTTCCACAAGGGAAGGAAGGATACACACTAGACAAAAAGACCCAAATAAAAGGCCGAAAAACAAAAGAAAGGGATGAACAAAAACTAAATCTGATAAGGCTCGGAACAAGCTATTGTCAAACTCGGATACTTGTGGTGGTTGCATATCATGCAGTATAGGATTCATTCGGTGGGACTTGGCTTCCCCACGACGGACTCCAGAGTGGAACAATGCTGGTGGGTTTACGTGGCGGCGGCGGGTCCCAGCCATTTCGTAAATCTTTCCGGTCCCGAACAGAAAGGAATACGGAACCTTTGAATCCTTGCCTGCACGGGCGCTTGAGTACCGGTACTTGGCGATGGTGCTCGGTTGAGGATTTGACAGGTCCCGTGTTTTTCCGCGACGGATTCTACCGATACCGCCACCTGGGGCGGTATAAAAACATGCGTGCATATTTATATACTCGAGTATATATATACACATACATTCATATTTATATACACCAGTATATATATATATATCTATGAGAAAGGGTTCAGGAATGAACTCAACGGGATAAAGTGTTTGAAATCGGGAAATAACTGCCAACTCTGCACTAATTTTGCTATGAGCATTTTATCTGGACCACTGAGTAATAGCTACTGTTCTGCTGCCAGCTGCTAATCCACCTCAAAACCATCGATGGCACAAGCACAGCACCACTCACACGTCAGCGTACGGGGGGAAGAAAAAGAAAGGCTATTTCTGCTTCCCGCATAATTTCATATCCTACGTATTCGTTCCCACGATCGTACTGTACCAGTCCAATCGACTGAATGCATATCACCCTTGGTCAATGGAATATCATATGGTGCGACAACAGACAAGTGTCGACCAGATATACAGGGTGTGCAAGATAGCATAACTTACCCAATACTGGACCAAATCGAGTTAAATAATGGAGCTTTTATTCTGCCCTTCTACGGGGCTTTACCTGGCGTGGTCTGTCTGGTATTTGGTAGGTTATGATGTGTTGCGCACCTTGTAAAGTACGGTACTTGTAGATCCGGTTGACAATCCGTTGCCGCGCCATCTCCTTTGCTGACTCATCATTACTTGTTATCAGGCAAATGACAACCGAAAATGTCTTTTTTTTTCATTCTAATCACAAAAGGCCAGGATGCTGACTGAACCCCCTATTACCCCCTAACGAGTCCATATGATCAGCCGGATGATCGGGGAGTTCAATTTGACAGGACATACCCTGATTAGACCTACATATTCCTCTGATGCCACAGCAGAGCGTCATCCGCCCCCTGGCATCTTCGGCTGGGGGACGCAACTGACTACTCGAGTACTCTCGTACAGGCAATTAGAACTGCGAGCCAACTTAAGGTGTCTACTTACCTTACGCACAGACCCTACCTCCCCCACCTTCTAAAACAAGCGATGCACCTTGGCAGACTATGGTCAAATGAGGATTAAATGAGAGGGCATTCTTATGATACTATCCCTTCACGGGATCTTAGGGTGCTGTGCCGGTACTTGGCTCGAAGAGGTATGGCCGAGGTCTGCCGAGAGTTTACCGCAGTTGAATATTGTACTATACAGTACTCGTAGATGGCGTTGTTACCATCTCAGGTAGGAGGCGGTCTGGACCGTGGTTCAGCCAACACAAATGAGGGGATCGATGGATATGTCTTTGCCGATTACGGTTCGAGTCTGTAGACGCAAATTGCTGTTGCAGAAGGTGGGGAGTCACTCGCAGGATGTAAAAGGAAACGCGCGTCGCATGGTTACCGCAAAATAATTTGACATCAGGACGCGCAGCTACCGGTAGGGGATGATAGTAGGCGAGTGCTCGTGTACTGTACAGTACTGTACTGTACTCGTACTCGTATAGTACTTCAGCACACTCTACCTGTATGTGATCCTGCATTGCTGCGGAATGGAGCGTGCTCCGCCATTCATCCACTGTACCTGTATCATTCACCTCTTGTTTCAGGCCTATTATCCCCTCTTTTTTCCCATTCCCATTCTCATTCCCTTTTTTTTCACAAGAACAGGGGGCGTGAAGGTATGATGCTCTTCTGCTCTGCCCCGCTTATCTTCGGTGCTCTGTATCACTGCGCAGCAAGGTGTCCAGCTTATTGCACCCGTAGTGAAGCGGCCCGAAGGAGGGGTAAATGAGCGCAGCGTGCCATCCCATCTACTCGCCTCGATCCATCCGTTATTCGGGCTCATTTTTTCTTTTTTTACTAACATCATTGCGTAGCGTCTTGCCCTTACCGGCACTTTCCTTGTCAATGCCTCCGGACCGCACTCCGATCCTTGTTTATTTCTTTTCGTTTTTCCCCCGAATAGAACTTCTCTCTGGTCCTCTCTTCCATTTGTTTTGCTGATCGAGTACGAGTGCTGCGCTCTAATCCCAGCATTCTGAAGTAGCAAGGGGTAGTGGGCGTGCATCATAGGAGTACGAGTATCCCATCCACTTCTCGACTCCTGCAGGTCTCAATGTTCACTTTTCTTCTTCATTTTTTTATACCTGTCATGGCCATGGATCGCTCCCCCACCCCACTCAAGTACAGTGTGCAGTAGCGCTGTCGTAGGAAGTCGTAACGTGGAATACCGGCAGCGTGGGAATCCTCCCGTGATCCACCAGTTGCTACATTTCTGTCTATCAATCCTACCTTTTTCCCGGGCATGAGACGCATGCACTTGGTATGGCACTTTATCGTGGGTACTGTACTGTAATTGTAACACACACACACACACACACACATATATATATATATATTGACACAAGACAAGCAAGCAACAACGCAGCCGAGGGAATTTGTCCCCTTCCTCCCGGGTCCAGACTCCCATGGTCTATTCCATCCATCCACCGATCCGCGCAATGATCCAGACTGTCAGACAGATCCAATACCAACCTCAGCTGTAGCATCGCAACGGGTGAGTTGGTTTTCGGGCTCGTGAAAGCCCTGCCCCCTCATCGCCTCTCCTTCCTTCCTCACTTCCCCCTCCTGCTTCCACGCACCAGCAGATGAGCCGAAGGGACGATGAAATATCATACCTGTGCACCGCTGGCTTATCCGGCTGAGGTGAATTGAGTCACGCAGTGCTTGCCGCGATATCTATGATAATCCCTTCCTATTTTTATCATCCGAGTCCCCAAGTCCATTCTATTCTATTTGTGGGAAAGAAGGGACAGGACGGTATGTATAGTCAAAGCAACCAATAAAAAGTGCGACAAAAAAAAAACAAAAAACAAAAAAAACCAAACCCGAGCCTGGAAATGGGGATATTGCAATTAATCAATTACCGGTAAAGTGCGATGGACCGTAACGAGGATCCGAGGAAGTGTAGGGACTTTTGTGTGTGTGTGTGTGGTGTGGCGAGTTGTGGGATTGTGTATGATAGTTGTTTGAGAAATATGCATTGTATGATATGCACTGTACTGTACAGTACAGTTACTCGTACAGTAAATTGATGCATGAGTTATGAATGCACTGGTTGCACCGTAGTGTATCATACAAGTACGAGTAAATACGCACATGGCGGACAAACTTTTCCCATCCACGGGCTGAATTTTATCCCCTTTGAAAATTGTGGAGAAGCGAGCGCTGCGGTACAGTACGGTGATCTGGCTGAAACTTTGCCTTCTTGTCCGTCCGGTAAAATGAAAAAATGAAAAAAAATGAAAGTTGGATAACCTAACTATATATACGAGTAGTTGTATCATAGCCCTGTTTTGTATAATAGCTTCTATCCATCTATGATATTATGATTACGGATATTATGATATCCAACGTGACTTGTGACCCCACACAACAACGCACAAAGTTGCCGTGACCTCGAAGTTGGGTAAGTTACCGGTAAGGGGAATGGATGAAAAGATGGTTATCACTGTACGAATACTCGTACCGTAGGTTGTCACTGGGGACGTTTCCCCCCCCCCCCCCCTCC